GGAACTTTGCCTTTGATATATTCATAATATCAGATTATATTTATAATATTTCTTTTTTTTATAATATACCAACAAAATTCAATTTGAAAGCAAATGAAATTATGTGGAAATGAGAAAAATCTTTTGCAAAGGTCGCTAAGAGGATGCGAACTTGGAAAAAATGAGAAAAAAGTTGAATTAAGCTAACGCTACCCGAAGCATATATGAAAAACAAATAATCAATATTGAAACTATTAGGGACGTTCATAAGGGTCGTCTTATGAAAACATTTCTAAAACATTGTATGGTATTCTCGAAGTGTGCCGGAACTATCTTGTTTAAAGCTTGTCTTTAGAAAATTTCGTCTAAAATTGTTGTTATAATTTTACGGACAAACTTTTAAGACTTTTAGGAACAGTTATTTAACATGACCTTGGTAATGTGGAAAATACGTATTTTGAATGCAGAGTTTTACACAAATTCATTTCATGCGAATTTTATACATTCTATTTGGTTTAGTATTGTTGATATATCAATAATAGATGGAAACCAATTATAGAAACTCACGCCTTTTCCATCATTCCTCATTTCATAAAAAAATCATACTGCTCAATTTTTTTATGAAATGAGGAATGATGGAAAAGGCGTAGGTTTCTATAATAGTTTGAATATCGATTATTTGTTTTTTATATATGCTTCGGGTAGCGTTAGCTTAATTTCACTTTTTTCTCATTTATTTTTTCCAAGTTCGCACCCATTTAACGACCTTTGCAAAAGATTTTTCTCATTTCCATATAACCTTGAAGTCTACTTAACTAATTTATAGCAATCAACTTTGCAGCATCTTATGCATCTTCTAGAAGGCAGTATTCCAGTTGAAAATTTCCACCTTGGAATTAAGGAAGTAATTTCCGTAGAAGCTTTAATATCATTTTAGCTGGTGGATGGCGCAATTGTAGACTTCAAAGTAAAATACAATGTAGTTCTGAAGTATGTAAACTGCAAGACGTCCTCTTATCTAACGCAGCACGCAACTGCAGATTTCATGTGATTGACAGCACCGATCTTTACGATTCATTTCTTATACTCTAAAAACTAAATCTTCTAATTCAAATAAGGATAATAATGATATTTTGTAATCAAATTTCACGAGTGGAAGTTCGTTCACTGATATTTCTGATCTGAACGATGTAAAATGAATTACCTAATGATGCAGCAACGATTCCAGTGCATCATTGATCGATGACAATTTTTCTTTTCCTACTCCTAAAGTTCATTTTTGAAACAACCTTATTATTTGCAAGTAAAAATATGCCATCTATAAATAATTAATCTGAATTCATTTCACCAATCTCATTAATATTCAATTGTTTGCACCTGCTTCTTTTCTTCCTTCTTTTACTTTACAGTTAAAGATCACTGAGGTCAACAGTGTAAGAGCGCGAAACAACCAACTTCCAGCCATGTGCAAGGAAAATGGAACAATCTCTCTTTGTGAAGCAGTCAATGCTACGTGGATAGGTTATGTCCACCGACTGGTCACTTACCACACAAGAGCACCTTTTACTCTCAATGGCAATGCTAACTTTTTCAACAATTCATTGTTTGCAGGGGCAAAATGGGAAGCACTTACGTGCAAGCTATCTCAATCATACACATCGCCAGCACTGCTGTAGTTATACCGAGTAGGCAGATAACGTAGAAGTTAAACAATGATCTATGACCTCTCTATTTCTCATCTATTTCAACTTCCTGTGAGTAGCGCTCTCTCCCGACGCCTACATACTTATCTGCCTATCCATCACACACGCACGACACATTTCTCTCTAGCGTGGAAACGTTTGTTAACCTCCGAGTGTTCTTCCATATGCACATTGTGAATTGCACTTCCTTTCTATCAGATATTCAAACTTGTCATCCAACGATTCACTGAGAATAGATAGCACGCTGCTGTGACAGACCTGCAGGTACTCTCCATGCGTGTCGCAAAAGGTTACAGAAGATCAATCACACGCTTATGTCTATCACTGTCGTGGTGCCAAGGTAAGGCCCAATTAATGACAACTTGCCAGAAGCTTATTTAGTACCTGTTTATGCGGTACATGTAGGCGTATACAAGCATGCACGTAAGTCTGTACGTGTGTTGTTCGCGTGTATGGGGGTTGCATTGCAGTGATAGTGGGTGGCGCGCCTAGTTGTCTGTCTCCTCATTTTTGCACACTCCTCCCTTCCCAATACAAACGCTTGAATGGAGGAGAATTGCAGCTTTTCCTTGAACAGGTGGAGTACCTCTGCTTCTTTTCTCCTTCCAGACACTCTCGTCCTGTGTCGAGATCTTGTTGCTGCTACCTTTATTCACTCTGCCTGTCCGCTGTCTATCCTTCCTCACACGCGATCGGTTTGCCCACAACAATGCACTCGCACTCTCCTGCCCACTTCGGCACTCGCCCACACGTTCTACTCTACTTTCTAAACCGCGTGTCGGTCGTGAGGCCCGCACGAGCTAGCCTTAGGCAGGCCCTCTTTCGTCATTACTTCTCCATTTTTATCAGGTCTTCCCAAGGGGTTACCTCTTGCGTTATCACTTGTCACTCATCATTCCGAACTTAAATCTCTCATTTGTATGCAAATTTCGCTGTACCTCTCTAATTCTGCATTTGTCTCCTCTTTATCATCAGAAAAAGCGCACAGTTAATTACTATGTTACTGTCCTCTATGAAATAGCACTAGAACGATTATTTCTTGAACCATTTTTCACTGTTGCCTCTTCTTTCCAATCACTTATTTTCATCTTTTTAATTTTAAATGGATATGTTTTGCCGCTCCTTTTATTCATATTTTTATCCAAATTTAACTCAGTAGCTTATACTCACTTTAAATATGTATATCTCATCAATTTGTCGCATTTCCACTTCGTAAAGCTACTTGTATGAGACCTTAGCTGTTATGGCAAGTTGACATTGCCGTCATATTGAGTCCGTATTTGAGTTAGTCGATTTAAAATGGTTTCTCATTTTAAATCGTATGAATTGTTTTTCCCTCATCTTGGACGATAAGACGACTATTTTCCATACAAATTGTATGTCAGCATGTAATTCTATTTACATCTCACTGTTTAAAATCGATTACTTTCATTTCGTTAACTTCAGTTAACATCAGTATCCTGAACTAGTGAATGTTGATTTTCCTCATTACTTTTCTTGCCAATTACTCATTCACCGGATTTTTCTGTGCTATAACTATCGTATGCATTTCCGCTAAATATTTATGTCCGTATTTCGATATGTAAACAACTATGTGTGGAGTAGGGGTGCGGAGGGGAGTGGGGTGTACGTGAATGAGGACGGTTGCATAGGGTTGGGATTGTATTGTAGAGTAACATACAATATCGAGTAGTATCGAGTAACACGTAGCCAATGTCAAGGATGCCTCCTCGATACACATATCTCCAGTTTTGGAACGATTCCAAAAAACATTGTCCAATTTTATTCCCCATTAGTTCTCAATTTCTTTCCTGCATTAAATTAAAAATTAATTAATCATCATAATTGGATCTGTTGGGTTATGAGCTACAGGGCTTCTGCATCGATTGATGAATTTCATTGCTGAATAAGTTCCTGACGATTGAAATCATTTCGGCTTAAGCGGCCAAAATATATCAGTACTTTTTTGGTCAATTAAAACTTAATGGAATTCACTTGGATTTCAAATGCTTTTCGATGAAACGTTACGACTGAATTTCGTAAGAGGATGAATTAAAAATGTGACATTAAATCTCGAGTGATCAAACTATTCATATACAATCTTATTCTACCTTCTTCTTAGATCTTCACTTATTCGAAATTTCATGATTTCAATTACTGCTTCTCTTATGCTAATCTTTCTTTTTCATAAGTTGGTAAAAAATAACGCCAATGTTTGTAGGACTTGAAAGGCTAAATGACGGATTAATAATATTTACCAAAAAATCACATGTTGTTATGCATAATTTGATTATTCGAAGTCAGTAAAATTAATTCTGTCATGTTTGTTGGCATTTTAAATTTGTATAAAAAAGGAAATGATGAGGGCTTGCTGGGAAGGAAAGACTGGCAGTAAAAATATAATTTCTGTGGCGGCTCCTCTTATGCCATGTGGCTATCCTTTGAAGGCAATAATTTGTGCAGAAGATTCCAGTAGAAATAATCTTAACATATATCTGAGATATATCTGATATATCTGAGATCCACTCAAAAAGTTCTAGTGGATACTTTCTTTTTGTTTTGCGTTAAAAATCATTGGATTAAAATCCGATAGTTATGTATAATAAGCAATTGCTGATCTGGTTTTGCAGGATTTTGATAAATAATTGCCGTATTTAGTCCGGATATGATGCTTGGGAATAAGTGAAACATCCGTTTCTTATTCTCCACTGTGCTTTTCTGAGTTAAAATCAGCATCTCTTTGCACAGAGTATGAATATATGTCGTTAAGTACGCAGTTCTTAAAGTCAAAAATTTTTGGGTAGTTGTTGAATTTTTCAGCTCCAAAACTATACCCATTGATTTTGCTTTCCGATTATGTTGAAATTATTAAGTTTGTTGAAATCTATGATTTGGGCGTGCATCGTCGCAAGACGCATCCATTTTCAAGATCCGTTATATTTGTGGTGCTACTGACCACATCATCACAATACCCGCACTGTAGGGAATAAGAACGATATAAATTGGTAACATCATGTGGCTTTCGAAACTTCCCGAAGATTTTGAAAGTTTTCGAGGTGGGCATCTTAAGCATGTCTTGAATATCTGGAATGATGTGATGATTATTGGTTTGGACGTGTCAGATGGTTGAAATGTGATTTTATTGTCGTACCCTTTTTGAGCCTTACGCATAAGATTTGGCAAGTACCGGATGAAGACCTGAAAAATTTCAATCGAAGCCCGATGAATTTTTAGCTGAAACCAACAGCTGAGTTGGGCTATATTGGGTAGCAATTTGATGCTATGTAAAGAAAATTTCTTGTCTTTAGCTGCTTTAGAATGAGTCAGTTAATGAGCACATCAACAAGGATACCAATACAAACAGGGAAGGACAATGTGTCACTGCCAAGACCGTCAAACAGTGATTCATCCGTGAATGCAAAATTATCAATTCCATCACTACGAGGTATCTTATATCCTTTCTCGATCCTCTCGATGGGACTACGGTCATCTGAGAAAGGATAAAGTTAAAGACCTATATCAGTATTAAACAGACAAATAATGGAGAAGGAGAAATGACGAGGAGAAATAAATAAAGTTTAGCAAATATTTAGAAAACTGATAAATGTAGTTCTGATTTGTAGGGTTCGCAACTGGAGTTTGATTTGATGAATGTACAGTGAAGAATATGCTGCATTATTAAATTGATGATAGCTATGAAATATATTTCAGGGCGCACTGGACAAAGTAAGCCAGTGGTATCGTTGAACAATTCGAATACGGAACCTGTGGGATTAAGTTTAAATGATAATGATAGTTTGAAAACACCAACCGCTTTGGGCAATACTGATGTAACACTCAAAACTCCAACTGTACTGGGTTCACCCACTAAAGGACCGCTTTCTGCCGGTACACATGTCGACGAACTCATCACTCCCAAACTTAACCTGAATAATTTTTCTGCACCAAATACTCAAACCCAAGCTTTCTTTGGTGAACACGAACCATTGCTCACAGGTATCTTTTTATTTAGTTACCATCATGAAATTTTTTTTTAAAATTACAATAATGGATCACAAATTTTGCAGTGACTTTGTTAATAGTGTTAAAGATTAAAAAGTTTTGAAATTCTCGCTTGGATGAATCCTGATTTTGATTTATAAAAAATCCTGTGCAATCACATTGTATCTTAAATTTTAATTTTCCAGCGAACATTGAGATTTCAACAATTTTGCCTCAGTCGTCAATTGCCAATGCGACACCAGGTATTTTTTAATCTCAACTTATTAGTTTTTCTTTTCCATTGTAGTTCCAATTCATGGTTAAAAATATGAAGTATTATATAATCCAAAGTTCAGGCGGTGCAACAACAACACCGAACGGAGTTCAAAATGACATTAGGGATCAAAAGGCTACGATTACTTTCAAAGGAAGCATCAGTACAAGTATTAGTACATTCGGCTCGCCAAGTGTTAATTCACCCGGTATGCGAATGTTTATCAAATTTATTCAAGTCTATTACGAAGTTCATAATTTTTACTGCTGAATAAGCTTTTCCGATTGAAACTATATATGGAGTGGTCATTTTTATGTCTTATATTGTTATTGATTTATTGAACAGTTCTGTTGTCTTGAATTGAAAATAGCTAACTGAAGTGTAATTCATCTTAGTCTTCAAATATACTTCTTTTTACTTTAATTTTTTCTTTTAACATACTTTGACCACTGTCGATTTTTATCTTATTCTACAGTTTTCTAGTTTCATGAAATTTGTTGAATTCATAATGCTAACCATAATTTTTCAACAGTGTTGCAGGTTTAAGTGCAACAATGTTTCAATTTTCTCCCCTTGTCGAACATTTTTTGCAATCCATCACTAAATCCCAACAAACAAATGCTAATTTACCTTTATTGGTGCTCGATCCAAATGTAAAAGCACCCAATGCTACCGATACATCCGATTTGTTTAAAGTAATGCTCCCGTTTTATAATTTTTCAAAAGGGATCATTAAATTAATGGATGCAAGAGAATGGAATTTTCAGGTATTTCAAGATAACAAGGATGCAGGGAATCTGCCAGCCGCTGGGATGCAGCAGTTATCTACTTCTCAGCCTTCTGTTCCATCAGTTTCTGGAACTCATCAAGTTCTCTCAGATTATGTACAAGTAAGCGTGGGTTATGCTTTGATTTGGTCACCAGACAAAATATTTTGCAAAAGAATTTGTCAGAATAAATAATAGTTAAAGAACTCAACTTCTCTCACATGCAACTAGTAGTTATCCTACTGCTGAAAAACTGAACCTTCTTTATGACGTCTATTTCATATATAAATATAAAATAGTTATGACGATGTCATTTTGAATGCTTGCAACTTTACATTGACTGAATAGTGCACAGCATATTCGTTATTTTTGAAACATTTGCTTAACTCATGTAAATTATTGCAAATTTAGTTTATATAAATTCACGGAATTTCGAGTTTGCGCGGTGAAATCAATATTCTATTTGTATTTATCACTTCACAAAGTCAAGTAGTATGAAATTTAATCAGCATGAGATTTAATTAGTATGAAGTTTAAGTATTTCAAACTAAGTATTAGTTTGAAATATATGTTTGATTTCTGCCGTTCAAAGTTGCATCTTTAATTTTTTTTCTCATGCACGATATACTTATTACAGTATACACAAAATGAATTTAATTTACGGAAATCTCGATTCAAAAATTTGAAAACAGATCGGTCGTCCTGGTGTGACTCGACGCACAACACCTCCACCCGGACCATCTGGTGTACGACAGAACGGATTCAATTCAGCCACAACGCCGGATTCGGTGTGTTCAGGGATACACTGCACTCAACAAGATGCTCGAATTAGACCTATTGTATCTGCGAGTGCCTCGGAAATGACTTCTACACCAGCTCAGATGCATCAGCATAAATATCATGTTATGGTTCATTCCTTTCACAAATCCATGAACGAGTTTTGGGTGGTATTCACATGTAATTTAAGCCTTGTAGCAAGTTACATTGAAACTATGCTGCATGTATATATTTCTGATGTTTCAGCAATATACGACTTTTAATTGTAAAAGTTTGTGATAGCAACATGATAACATTGTATGAAATGGTGCAAAAGCTGTAAAGAGTCTGTTATTTACGTCGCCTTAACGGATTGAAAAAATTCACTTCTGAAGAACTTTTATCTGGTATTCTTGTGCTGTATGCATAAATCATTTTGTTTTTAGAACTTTTATTGCCATAAACGAATCTACTTCATTTTTCATTAAGGTACACTTGCAGATCCACCAGAACATTACATGTACAGTGAGTCCAGTAGAAAGCCAAAATAGCAACCAGTCGAACACAACAGGCGCACAACGAGCTTCTTATCAAACGTGCAATTTTTTAACTTGTAGTGGTGTACCTTGTCTCTCCCGAACATTACAAAGCCAGGCTTCTATTAGCGAGGCGTCAAATATCTATCGGTTTGTTCATTCCTATTTCCTCATTTTACCTTTTTTAAACTGAAATCAACTTTTTTTTGTAAAAAGCTAGAACTGTTCATTGTTTTAGAAGTATTTTCTAGCTTTGTTAAGGGAATTGACTTACCACTACATTGAGTTCAGTTGGTTATTACATCTAACTTCAGATCGGATTTCCAGCTAAAACCAGAACCTGCAGACGAGTATTACCAGGCATCTTTATCTTTTGCTCAATCAGGGCCGCAGTTTGCACAGAGTAATTACTTGTCCAGTTGAATTTTCATCCTAAAATTGAAATAAAAATGAAATAAAAATATTCGAAATCTGTTTCTTTGTTGGATAAGGATTGACACATTAGTCTGTTTCTACTGTATACCCGTTCTTTACTTCAGTCGGTCATTTTATTTGTTATATTTATAGCTAGTCCGGTGAAAATCAATAAATGTACTAACCGTCTTCTTAAACCGCCATCACACGAACGACCATATAAATGTCCTATAGAGAACTGTGATCGACGTTTCTCGAGGTCGGATGAACTGACAAGGCATATCAGAATCCACACAGGACAAAAGCCTTTTCAGGTGAAATTTAATGAAATAACGTGGAATGCTTCAAATTTTATTAGAACTAAATCTTCTTCGGATCATCAGAAAGTGGGTATGGAAATTCAGCTAGGATCGAATAGGTGAAACAGGAATAAATTTCCCTTCTTTCTTATTGGAGTTTTTTTTTGGACCAAACGAAAACGTATAATGCTGAGAAGAGTCTCGTGATTTACGATATTGCTGGGAAGGCAAATTTTGAAGTCATTTTGGCGCTGTTTCAAAGCAATTCAAAAAAAAAAATTAAAATTATAATTTGCATCCTTGCAGTCCCAAAGATATGAAGTTATAATTACAGTGTCGCATATGTATGCGAGCATTTTCACGAAGCGATCATTTAACAACGCATGTACGAACGCACACAGGTGAAAAACCATTTAGCTGTGATATTTGCGGAAGGAAATTCGCCCGTTCTGATGAGCGCAAGCGGCATACAAAAGTGCATACGAAGCAGAAGGTAATCTAATAAAACAATATATTAATTCAAATTGTAGACGTTTGCGCAGTCATTTTATCCCCTCAGTAGTGATTTAGATTATTGGGTTGGACTTTTAAGGATGTATAAATGATGATTGGTATGTCTAAGCCTCTGAAAATACTGTTTGGATGGAGTGCAGTGATTAATGCCGAAATTGAAGATGTGTTGGGGAAAAAAAATTCTGCTACAAATTAGGCAATTTTGACAGTTGTCATTAAAGTGGGATTCAGTCCAAGGCCAGTATTGCAGGAACATCGACGTCTCAATATTACCGACTTCAATAGTGGTAGCGACTTCAAATTGCATATGTGAATCAGTCATGCATAATTTCTGTTCAAATTCTAGTCAGTTCAGTCATCTCATCTCCATTGCTCACTGTTTGTTTATGTTTTATTAACGAAGTCTATTTTGAGTAGATCAGTTTTGTCTCTAGTACGCGGTAACACTGGATCTCAAAGCGTCTAAATGGACGAACTCATCTGAATTTAAACTGTAACGAGAATCAGGACTTGGAACAGATTTAGCTGGGAAAATAGGATTTCATGGTTTTGAAAAGTGGAAGACATGAATGCATAAAACGAACTTATGCTTACAACACACTCATTCTTTGCATTTTTGTATTCTACAACTATGATCCTGGGCTTTTCTCGCACAATAATTTCATTTGCTATGTTCGTTCCACGACTTAGGAAAATTCGTCCTGAGAGATCCAATTGACGCGAGTCAGGGTACATTTGAGAAATATTGTCTTGATAAAACAATTTTACTCAATGTTGATTGTGATATAATTTTGCAAGAATTAAATGTTTGTCAAAACAGTCTGGATGTTTCCATTAATCGCTTCCGGAAAAAAATCGACTTTTTATGATTACGGGTGCAAAGATCGTTTTTAACGCAATTTTTTTTTTAAACTAAACTGGCAGTTTAGTGAATGTCATTCCCTCATGAACGTCCCCTTTCAAATGTAGACTTGGACTAGCATTAGCCTAGTACAAGTTAACATTTGAAAAATAAGCCAGGCAGACCACTATTCTTCACATGAATGAAACGATGTTTATAAGCAATGAAGACAACGAGTCGTTTGAGATTTCGATTGCTCCTCCTCTGCGTTAACGTTTGTTAGGGTGCGAGGTTCACAGACTCCATCTACCTCGCTTCTACCTCTCATACATCAGATTGTCATGGCTGTTCCTTAACATTCACTACAGGGGACAGATTCCTAGGTCTGTTTCCAGGAAGGTGGTAGATACCATTTGTCGAGCTTTAGGGCTCTTTTTTCAGTCTGCACTGAAGAACATCTTAGGGCAACATGGAGAATCCACAGGATGCCATGTAAATATTTCTTCGGTAGACGCTGACCTCTCTTTCATGCCTACTTCCTTATCACCCAGATTTCTTAGAACAGTAAATGTGTATTAACAAACGCTTGAAATCGAAAAAATGACTTTGTTTCCTAACTTTTACAAGAACCGATGGATCATAGAATACCAATTATTATTACACACCATAAATATAGCTAGAAATTCTAGTGCTTAAGGCTGAGAAACATTGCATCGAAATGAGAATAAAGAGAAAAAAAAAACATAAAATTCATTGACTTTGGAGTCAGAAATTAACCCTTTCCATATACATGTTTAAAACACAAATTTTGGATCTACTTTGAAATTTTCCAGTAAGCTCTGTATGTAGCGAAAGATGCCTGTTTATTGAATATTTAAATACACCCAGGAATTAGCCCAAATCAACATTTTAAAGAAGAGCGGATTTATTCTATCTTTTTTTGCAAACTTTACAATGAATTTCGCTTATAAATCTATGCAATTAAAGTCTTGTTTGTAAAGTAGTCAATGGATTTTTCGACAATCTTTACATCATTGTTCCTACTCCAGAGAGGTTATCAAAAGCAAAAATATCAAAGATATACAAGAAAAGAATCAAGTAGAAAGTATTGAACTCTGTTATTAGAGTTGAAATATGTGTGATAACAAATAACTAATGCGTTAGCACACCTCAAAATAATTTTAATAAATGGTGCTTCCTTATGTTTCTGGAAATAATTTGTGAAGAAGTTCAAAAGTAAAGAGACTTATACGGACGACTGACAACAATAAAGCACATTTTTTCATTCCATCTATGGGAAAGATGGAAATCCTGCTCTCACTGTTATTAAATTATGAAACAAAAAAAGAGAGAAAATTTGATGTCATTAACTTTCCCATCCAGGTAATTTTTACAAACCATCGGATTACATACCTTCTGAAAAAAACGATTCAAACTGCGCATCATTTTGAAAATAATTCAGAGATAAAAAAATTTAGATGAAAACTGAGCATAATTTCTGTCTTTATGAAAGTTTTATTTCAAACAAAAATTTCAAAAATTACCATACTTACCGAAATGAGAAAATAAGGAAGTCGTCCTCTACATACTAGGAAATTAAAATAATGGCAGTAAAAATGAAATAGAAAATTCGACGAACCGTTCGATCCAAAGTCATTTTCCTTTACATTTCCCAATGCGGCGACATCATCCTGAGTACCATCCCGATTGGAATTAACAGCATTTTGCTTTTTTGTTGATTCGCTGGAAATCTCTGCAACCGTATGATGAGGATCCTGAGAAGTGGCGTCCGGCCGGACCACAAATTGGTGTTTACAGACTTCCGTCGGTTGAATTTGTCCTTTAAGCAATATGAATATCTTAAGGTTTTGTAAGAAAACATAATTCATAAGCTCGTTGTTCACAAGTTTTTTAAAGAGTGCAAGACGTTGTATTACCAGTTTTTAAGTCAAAGGAACGACCCTTAACACTCTGCAAATCCTTGTTCAGTGGTGAAAACCAATTAACCAATGAACCCATCAGTGGAATCTGCCTCATCATACCCTGTAATAAATTTTGCTCATCAATCCATTATTCAATCACTAAAAACCAAAACGCCAAGTAAATTAATATAAATGAACTGGTAGGTGACCGATTTTCGATCATTCCATCGTACAGCATAAAATTTCTCGGAGAGAAATTGCATTAAATGTTGCAGTCATTTTGTTGTTTGTAGCACGTAATTTATGTTATTAACAGTGCCGAAATATGTAGCACATATGAATTTTACTTCTTGCATAAGTCGCTCATCATTCTCGCGTTTTAAGTCTTTATTTGCTGCCTCGATTCCCCGACGTATCATTTCAGCCAAATTGTCCATGTACTACAATTAAGGTAGTTAAAATCTTAAACATGGGTAATTTAGAATAAAGTAAGTCATGCTTGAATCATACAAATAAATTCAAAGGATTTAAAAAATCATTTACCAGCGGAACTAATTAACTCAAATTTTTAAAAACGTGAAAACATGAAGAAAGCTACAATAACGTGAAGCAGACAGTTATGAGGTCGTGAGCTTTACAATAGTGAAAATATATATAAAGTAGCCAAGAGCAGTAAATTTGATATGAATGAACATTCTCAGAGCATATTATTTTTTAGTACGAGTTAAAAAGCGATTGTTCATTAGGAATTTTACCTTCTGTGATTGTTCGATTTCTTTTCCATGCTTAACAATCAAATTGATCAGACGCGTCAGATCTTTATCATTAGAAAGCATACCAAATTTAACACATGAAATACCATATAAAGGACTTTCGCCAGCAGAGAATGCTATATCTGCGAATCGCAAAGAATGTACCAATTCAAGATTCAAATGAGACACCTATAACAAAAGTTTGGTGAAAATAATTACTGACCTGAATAACATCCACGATCTTATTTATGTAAAAGCATTATTTTTTTTAGAAAAGAAAAATAAAAAACCTGCTGACGCTGCTTTTCAGTCCATTCATTCATTGGAATTTCGCTCACAATGGAAGGTATATAACTGAAAATAAAAGGTACAGATAAAAATATTCTCAATATAACATTGAGAATGAAAGATTTTTACGATCAAATTTGGATCAGATTTACGAAAAAACTGACCTAAATTTGACAATATTGAAGAAAAGCAGCCTTAGTTAGCTATTTTCAGTATCGGTACAAAAATTCGATTTGAAAAATTCTGTTTGAACATCATTTGTTGATACAGTTAGTATTAAAAAAGACTACCAGACAGCTCCAACACCAGCCCATTTACGAACTGGTATTAGCCCCAATGATGGATATTTCAACACGGTCTCACTGAAACGTTTTTTGGCAGTAAAAGTCGATTCAATTATTGCCAGCGCATCGGAGAGTTGTTTGATAAACTTATGCACATGGTCCACATGAATACAGTTCACTGAAAATACATCCATCGTAAAAAGTGTGAATAAAAATTCGGAATAAAAAACAAAATGATGAATACTTCCAATAGGCAAAAAAAATCCAAAAATATTGAAATAGCAAGATATAAATTTTAACAATGTAAAGCGTCTACTCAAATCTAAGTTATAATTAAGGCTCGCAAACGTATACTATATTACAGGTTATGGAATATTATATACCATAACCTATAATTACGGTATATAACATATTATATATTGGCATATTATACATAATATATCATAACCTGCAATACTTTAACCCTTTCTTTGAAATTATGTCCAAGCATGGAAAGCATGAAACTAACTGGCAGAGGTTTCTAGCGGGCAGAAACGGAATGCAGTGGCATGCGAATTACCAACAGTTACTGTCTGTAGTGCAAGTTGACGGCAATCTGATATCGGTCCCTGACTGAGCTGAAATATTCCACATTTAACAGACATAGGTTCTGAAAGAAATTTCAGAGATTTATTTTAGATGGGGAGTATAAAACCGAGTTCATGTGAGTCTTATAAATTGAATAGAAGATAATTGGAGCTATACAAGCATAGTAACAAAGCACTCAATCAGAGATTTAGATAATCACCCAAGAATTCAATGATTCAGTATATTCTTTTAGAAGGATATCGTCATCAGACATCGCAAAAGAATCGTTGATAAATTTGTCATTCATATCGTTCGAATTTACATAGTCGTTTGTCACAGTTTCGGAAGAATTTTCATCAATAGCTATCGGAATCTTTTTCTGTAATTTATTTATTAATAACGAGATTAAAATTCTCCAGAAAAAAAGGAAAAAATATTATGATTACTGATATAATGCTGTGCAATGTTTTATTTTGCTAAATATGTATAAGAAAACTTAATCTTTAGCAAGAATAAGCTTGAAGTAAAATAAATTTATCTGTATATGAGATCTAATAAATGATCTTGAAAACTGTAGTGCAATTATAATCAAATTTTGCTAAAGGATTAGAAAAATACGCATGAGGTATTTAAATTGCTGTTTAAAATAATTTATTGAGAAAAAGACTTTTCTTGGCATTTCAATTATATTAACTAATATCTGACTAAAAGAGACACAAGCTCGAGTAGATTTCATATTTTAAATAGCGCCGAAAGTTTTATTTTATAATCTAATGTAATTAGTAAACATTTAGTATGAGCGACAAATAAAAAGACACAAGAATTAAGCTTACTTCTTGATATACTGTAATAATATTACAACTAATTTCATTACTGACTTTATTATAATTACAGGACATAATATTTCTGAAATCTCATCAATAATTACGTATGTTTTATAAAAAGATAAAGCATAAATTTTGCTGAGAGCTGCAGAACTAACTTTTTTAACCACTTTCAAGTCTGGGCACCTGTACTTAAAGACCAGAACAATGGGAGGTGTATGAATGCCTTTGTCAATGAGATTTGCAAATTCGATGGGATTTTCAATACCAATAATTTCGATCTGCGGAAAAGCTGCCAGACTTCGAAGCATTATTTTGCTCTGCAATATTGAAAGGAATTACCGAACCAGCTAAATAATTATTATAAAGAACATGAGGTAAAAACTACCCTCCCTTCCTCGCCTTTCTATCGTAAACATACGGAATCAATTCAAACCAAGAAGTATGCGTTCTCGATAATGTCAGTAATCTTTGAAGCTGTAAAATGATGGTATGCGATCCACCATGGTAGTGCAGCCAGTTTTTCATGATATAACGGCTTGTAGTTACCAATAGATCGATACAATGTCTATAAAGGAAAGCTTACAGATCTAAGAATTTGTGATTATAATTTTGAAGCACAATAATGATATGGTGTAGGAGTTGACCGATGCTGAAATGGCATATGATGAAGTACAAAGTAATAAAGCACTTGAATTTCTATATTTTAAGTATAGCAAGACAAATTTTAGAAAGCTCTATTGGAAAATTCATACAATAGTGTGCGTTGCCGGTATACCAAGCCATAACCCAAGTGGAACCGTGAAACTGTCTACTTGTGATAACACGTCTACCAACATTTCGGATGGTTCCTTCAAACAGAGTGCAGCCAAACCCTAAAAAGTGAAGTGTCAAAAGAAAAAAAGATTAGAAACCAGAAAAAATAACAAACCAGTCCAACGACATGTATCCAGAATTGAGTCTTGCACTTCCTTATTTCCAAAAGACGACTTATGATATCATTCTGCCCGAACATTGACGATCCAACAACTCCAATCACCATCAGCGGTTTCTTTCCAGCGCCAATATCATCATCAAGCTGTTTTTCAAATGCGATGTGATCCTGGTATCAACCATTCAGGATGGAAAGGAAGTTTTACAAATTTTCCAGATTAGCAATGCTTAATAGTAGCTTTGAGCTCTAGACGACTTCAAATTTCGGACTGAAAAATATTCAAATTTGACTGAAAATTTTACGGTCTGTACGAAATGTCGATCAAAACCTTCACCTAAACCTTAAAACTTTGATTTTTGATCTAAATGTTACCTAAGAACAAGTTAACAGAACAATAAAAGCTCATACAATTCGGCCTTCAACGTCTGCATTCAAAATGACAATATCTCCAATTAAGTATTCAGTGGACAGGTATGAAGTAAGATCGATTTGCAAAGCAGGTGAAATATACACCACTGGTGGGCCCTTAAAAACAGTACGATAACTAATTTCATTTATTTGTTTAAATTTTTTGGAATAGAAAAGGTATCTGTCATTAAAAGAAAAAAAAAATTAACCACGTTAAAAAAAACGCGCCATCCTTTTGAGCAATAATTGGAACCATATGTATCATACAATGCAAGACGAATCGCATAACCTGAAAATCAAACTTTATAACATCAGCAAATAGTTCCGCAGCACTTAAATGCCTAAATCTTTTACTAATTCGACAACTAAATTTAATTCATCGTTAAGGGCTCAGAAAGAATCAGAATTTCATTTCCATTTCATAGTTTATTTAATTCCAAATATTAGGAATGAAAAGTAAGGATGACGAAGCAATTTAGACACAATTTTAAAACACAGAAATGAACGAACCGATTTCTGTTTTCAACGAATTTGAGAATGAGGAATCGTACTCGGAGCAATGCAAATTGTTGTTGGGTGTACGAAAGAGGGTGCTAAGTGCTTGCGATGTCTTACGATAAACTAATGAAGCAATAGATTGTCTGTGATTAGTTTCAAGCAGACTAATGTAACTTTTAATGGATGAACTGATAACCAAAGTGCGTCCCAATTCCGATAAATGTAAATTAACAAGATGACCCCTAAAATTTATTTTATAATTGGTTATACCATGAGAGAAAAATAATTTTAAATGAAAGCATTTATTAAACCTTATCTTAGTTCATGATGAAATCTGTTTCATGATCTTACGGAGGGTACTGCATAGGGTACTGCATAGTGCTATACACCTATGCTGGTTGCGCTATAATTATTTATTCTCAACAAAAACAACAGGATACGAAGGACAAGATTCACTTGTTTACAAATGAAGTAATGTATGGGACTGTTGCGCATTCTTTATGTTTTAAAGCCTCAATGCTTGTGCGCTATTTGCATGCCACATATCCATCTTCTAAATTTGACTTCGCTATTTCTGCTTACTCGTGTTCAATTCACAAATTACTTTATAGTTAATTGCTATCCGTCATCTATTCTAGTAAAAAGGACTTCATAGCATTATTCATGACTTGTTTACGTTAACATTCACGTACGATTAAAGTTATACACATAACATTAGCACTTATGTAGCAGTAAAAAGCACATGAATGTTATGAGATCGAAAATAACTACTTTTTGGGAAATTCTGAAGATTGCGAGCTTTCTCCATGATCTTTTACTTCTTTGTCGACCCAGTCATCAAATTGGATCAACTGCTCTAACTGTTGAAGAATCCGACTGACATCACTATCGGTATTAGATACTCGCCCAGCACTCTTTTCCATTTTCTTGGCATTGTTCAAGTCCTTAACAATATACACCATTTATCCCAGTATCCAAAAAAAGGAACTTACCCGAGAAACGGCTTTTGTTAAGCGATTTAAAAAAAAAAGAATGATAACATGATTACATTTCCATTGGAAACGCAAACAAGTTCTTCCAGAGCAGATCTTTCAATAACAGCATCATTGTTGTCTGCATTTACAACTGAATCTTTCAGTGAACCATTGCTGTGCTTCTCCGTTACGGGGCTATATCCATACCTAAAATTATGATAAATATTGATTCTTAAGAAATGAGAAGACAAGAATTATAAGAAACTGAAAGAACATTCTTAGGTATTAGCGCAAAAGTACTGCAAACGATAAATGATGGTTAATAGCACTAATTCTAGTTAGAAAATTCAAAATTCTCACTTCAGGCTTAGGTGCAATGATTCGTTGCTCATCAGTAAGCTCACAATTCCCTTAGAAAGCTATTGTGGAATAAATGCAAAGTTAACCATTTGTTTCAAAATTTAGCTTAAGTCAATTTATTATAGTATGGAAAAAAAAGAGCAGTGTTAAAAAAGAGGAGGAACATATTTCTGAAAGCTCCAAATGAACAAAGACATCGTTTATCACGGTAAAGTTTTGATTCACTTGAAGTTTTCGGGAATATGTATGATAGATCGCGTTTCGTTTGGAATGTTCAACCGTGTAATCGTGTGTGAGCGAAACAGTGCTAAAACTAATAATGGCAGTTCAGTTTTAGTTAATTATAATTACTGTAACTTGACGACTAGGATGATGGTTTCCATGGCACGTGTATTTCCTGAAATATTTGAGGCTAAGAGGCAATTTCTTCCATTATCACAGTGCGCTATCTGAATATATCCAATTTGATCCCATTCGGATAAAAGTTGACAATGGATTAAGTTCAATCTCATAATTCAAAATGGACGAGGTTTTCTTCCTAATACATTTTCCACCTTGTCATTATTTAAATTATTGCAGAGCATGGAGACGAAGTCTAGCCAAAAATAGCTATGAACAATTAAGAACCACTAAATTAGAACCCGAGAAAGTGTTGACAAATCGATGATATATAATAGTCAGTAAAGTGATTGTATAAAAAGTTATGAAAGTTATTCAGCCTTTTCGCCTTATAATTTCTTTTTTGATCACCATTGATAGTAATTATTTTGTGAGTTCTTTGATCGATAGAAATTCACAGAATAGAAGAGAAGGGAAGAGGAACTGGCAAGGAAATATGGAAGCAAATTTAGTCGAAACAAAATAAAATCCAAAATCCATTAATTTTGGTGAAATTTAGTTCACAGTAATTGCAAAAAGCTTTAAAAAAATCCAAAAAACAAATACAAAAAAGATGGAAACAAACGAACTTTTCGATATTATTAATGACTTTACGTGAAGCATTCATCACTATTTCAACTTCCGAATTAGCAGCCATCGTCATAGATCAATTTGCATTCCACCGCACCTTACCACTCAGTTCCAATTCCTGAACTAACACTGACTGTATCTTTTACAAAATGTGTTATAAAATAAAAGTGCTTTCGTTAATTTATGCAACCAGCTGATCAAAAAATCGATTGCTACTTGAAGACATTTAATAAATCATATGAAATGATACAAACAAAAATAAAAAACATCTCATTACGTTATTATACATATACCTTTTAGTAGAACAACAAATAATTGAAATAGAAATGATCAAAGAAAATGCAAATTTCACATGGCAAAACGGTTATTATTTCAAAATTACCTTTAACACTATTTCACTAAATCAATTAATTCCTCCATTAATCTTTTGATGACAACAAATACTTCTCAAATATTTATTTCAAATACTTTCATATCTTTTAAATTTTCCTTAACAATACACTGATAAAATGATAAATTTCCTCACCGTTTGTTCTTACTCTGTCAAAACGTTTATCAATAAGAATCTATAAATGACAAAAGACGAAGCTTAAAAAAAAAGTGAATCACTGAACAAATATAAAATTGCTTAAAGAGGATATCATTGCTATCATCTAAAATTCACCTTCAAGTGATGTGTGCTAAAAATTAAACTAAAATGGAAATAAAATGATTACAGAATTTAAATAGCGAATGAAGTCAATATACGTGGAAATCTGTATCATTACAATATTTATTAAAAGAGCGACGGACCTGTCCCACTCCACACAACAACCATCAATGCCACCATATATTCTATTGATCTATTCACAAACACAAAACATAAAATGAGAGAATCAATGAATGTTACAGATGAAATGAAATCAATGAAATATTCAAATTTTTTAACTTCCATGAGGAAAGTAAGTTTTTGAAAAATGTTGATTTTATATATGCATGAAAATTTGCATATCGATTTTTTTGGTGTGAAAATATATAACTGCTTGCAATCAACATTATCAATTTATCTCGAGTGGTTTATATTTCCCTAATCCATTCAAATGCAACTGTATTTGAGTAACATGCATTTATATGTTACATTTATTTAATTAACTTTTTTACTTTACAATAATTTTTAATTTTTTAAATGATTTCATAATTTTAGCTTATCAGTTAATGTGCAAAAAATAGTTAGCTGCTTATGAAATAGAACCTTTCAAGCAACACATAAAACAATAAAGGTTTTGTGTTATTGAGCTAAGCAATGAATGCATAAATTTCAATCTTCACGAAAAGTTTACAATTGATCATAGGGCCTTTGAGATATATTATAAATTTTCTGCAAAAGCAAATTTTTTAAGCTATGAATTGATAGAATTTGCTGCACAAGCTGAAAAGTTATTTTCTTTGATAATAAACTAAAATTAGAATCTCAAAAAGATGACCGAGTAGAATATTCGCTGTGGAATGGCATAACCTAAAATTTGCACCTTCACTTCTCATACCATATCGGACATCTGATATCTTTTCTTCTATCAGAAAATTGTATGTCTATTATTTATCGTGGATAAAAACGAAATTACATTATTTGTCGTGCAAGTTTATCGAAATCGCTACAGTGTTTCAAAATATCTTACTGTGATCCACAAAGTTATGTCTATCATCGTTCTAAACGGAAATGGTCAAAAATTGTCCACTATGTGCTATTAACCTTATGAATATTATTTCAACTTAATAACAAACATATAAGTTCGAGTTTCGAATTCAAAAATCAACATATTATCTGCTTACTAGGTTCTTTTGAAAAAATCTACGGATAATTTTAAAAGATCGCAATTTAGAAAGATTTCGTTCATCTGACAAAAACGAAAACAATACTTTTTTTATAAAAATTTTTCCCAAAAGGAAAAGGAAATGGGATTATAGACGAGAAATATTGAAATATTGAACGGCATCGATGCAGAGATATTGTCAAGACGGCAATAGCAATTTTGCATTTAGCAATCCAATCTGACTGTTTATTTCCATAAAACTTTCAACTATGCTCAAAATGTTGTGATTTCAGAATCTCTGATGAAATCTGAGCAGGAGCAACAACACTCGTGCGATCCATTAGTACATACGTGGCTGGCATAAATTAGCATCAATGCATGTTTCATTCTACAACAGTTCGTCGACAATATTCTGCAAATCAAAATTTTCAAAATTTAATTTCCAGTGTTACTAGGAGTTTCTCAAAAATCTCCGTTTGTTAAGGATTTTATCGCTGTGGTCTGCCGTGAAGGACAGTTTATTATAAGAAACCAAATAGCGTCAATCAAATCAGATGCAGAAAAAAGTATCTGTTTGAGGATCTATTCCGATTATTATTCATCCGTTTAAATCCACCTTTCCCAAGAAAGTATTTCAATTGCTGGATGCTAAGTCTCCTAGGCTTTTGGTGTTAGCATTGGAGGGAAGCAAGCGATATATAATTCCCAATATTTAGAGAAAGAAAGAACAAAGAACAATTAAGAAAATTGTCACCATTTCCGGAACTGAACATATAATGATTAGTTGATCAAAGACGTTTAATTGTTGAAAAACGGAAAAATTTAAAGAAGGAATAATTGAGGAAGAATATGGAAATAATACCGAGTGGAAAGGATAAGCTGGAACACAGTGGGTAACAAAGAGTTATAATTAAATATAGGCCAGAAAAATAAGTGACAGAAGAAACTGAGAGAAGAAAATTGGCAAAAAAAATGGATAATAGCGAGATAATTAAGCTATGACTGGTTATGAAAAGAAAGGAAGAAAAGAATGATCGTAATGATGGCTCAAAAAATTAAATTGAAATATAATGATCGCAAATTAGAACAAAGTATGATAGATACGTATGCGAATTAAAAGATGTTGAAAAGTGATGCGAAAAGATTGTTACAACTCACACCAGCACAAAAAGAAATTGAAAATTTGTTAAAACCACTAAATAGGAAGGGAAGACGATTATCGGAGTGTTGAATTCGAATATAACATCGCAATTGAACCGATCGATAGCAACTATGCTGTTACAAGAAGAAGCAAACTTATTGTAATATGCTACATTTCTCCGATCATAAAAGCATTGTTAAATAAACTAATAAAGGTAAATATATGGAATTAAAGAAAAAGAACTGGAAATGCTTATGCTTCATCTGAAATGGAAACGAATCATTTGAAAAGTTTGAAGGATGAACATTAAAAAAAGTGAAAATAGAAAAAAAGTGAAATATCATATTGGAATAAAAGCAGTAATTGAAATTATAGAAATTGCAGAACAATAGATAACTGCAAATGAAAATAGAATATTGCAAGAGGGCAGTGATTCAATGTACTCAGAGTGGAATATCTCGAAATCATTATAACCAACAATCATTACAGAAAACTCTGAATACCGCACGTATAATGAATGGAGCAATATTCTGACGTAAAAGTGATGTAAAACTGTAACACCTTGACAAATTGTCTAAAAAGTCTAACGAAATGACTAATTGGATTAAAAAAATGTTTAAAGCGTTCATCAAATAAAAATGTCAGATAATTGATAACTGGTCAATCTTAGGATCAAACGAACTGTATAAATTCTGGTTGATAGTCTATAGTTTAGAATAATAAAAAATTTAATATCCTATTACCGAAAAATAATTGGAAGAATGCGTTGTTGATAATGAAAGATAAAAGAAATGTTAATAATTATTAATATAATACAATACAATACAAGAAAAATTTATTTCGAGGGATTTATTCTCAAATGAACAGAAAGGGAATTGCTTGAAATATCAGGGTTAATTAATAGTGACAAAACTGTGATGAGAAGCTCTAGCATGGTGCCTTATCCCGGAAGTCACTTAATTTAAACGGTTTACAAAACTGAAGTTAAAAAGATCAGTATCAGATATAGGATTTTAAGTTGACTTTTTCTTAGCTTTACTTTTTATAATCATAATGATAATCTTTATCAGAACAAAAAAAACTTATGTTAGTATAAAATCGCTAAAGGTGAAAATAAAATCGATCATCTATTCTATGTTTTTTTATCAATAAAAATATGAATAATTTAAATTTATATGAAATCATAAACAGAAATTCAGTGATTATGCATGGAACTATGGGATGAAAAATTTATCAAAAGACTAAATTATAACGAATTGTAAAAATGTCGCGAGATTCTTTAAAATAACGCTACACAGACAATATGATGGAGTGAAAAAAAATCTGCTGAAGAGGAGTTGGAAAAATTGTGAAAGAAAGTGAAGTGGAGAAATTAATTACTCGCGCAATAAAAACAAATTATAACATAGTTAATGGAAAGAAATAAACCAGTTATGGCTTAAAAAATGAGACAGGATGATTAATTTTAGGCACAGGAACACGTATTCCGTACAAATTATATCAAATAAAAAATCAAAAAAAATATTTTTTAAAAGATATCGGTTAAAACTGTGATCGATACACTGCTAGCAATGTTATCAAAGATATAAAGCAAATACCGATTATAAAAAAATGTTAAAAATCATAAACTAGAAATGATGATTAAAAAATAAAAATAGGGAATATTTTACATTTTTGCAGGTAAGAAAGTTTAGCAGAATATATCAAACGATTGTAAGAAAAGAAAAGATTGGGGAGTTATTTGTTTCAGTATCAAAAAACTTTGATGAAAAATAAAGAATCCAAGCAATATAACTTCAAAATCTCAATCTAAAACATTTCGTGGCTCTGCAATCATGATAATGATAACAGTAACAACAATAATAATGTTATTTAGCAGAAAATAATAATAATGTAATCATTTTAACGACACATCTATCGCTGTCCGATCACATTAATACTGAAAATGCACTGGATGAAAGGAAATAAAAAAAATAAAACATCATTTCAATAAGAAATTGATTTTATAGCTAGTATGTTCTATTACCACCATGATTTCCGCGTCAACATAATGATGCTGAGATATTTAATTACATTGAATAATTCTACAGTTGTTGCATAAATGAATTTTCTGCTCATAGACATACCTGATCTTTCTCATTT